TTGAAATATGAGAGAAGAATTGGCATCTTTTATATTTGAATATTGAATATGCGTTGAATATTGGAAATAATTATTTATATTTTTTATTTTTTTATTCAATAGAGAGAAGCAAATGATTATAATAGTTGTATTATGAATTATATAATATATAAATGAAAAATGATGCAATTTTAATTTAAATGTTGAATAAAATACATTATTAAAAATATAGAAATACTTTTAATAAATTATTTTATTTCTGAATTGTCTTATAGTATATTATCATATATATTATCATCATCATCCAAGATACACACACACACATAATGATAATATACAGTATAATTATATATAGTATCTATATAAATATATATATAATTATTATATATATAAATATATTAAAATTCATTTTAATGTTTAATATTAACTAGTAATAGTACAATTCCCAAACAATTTTCTCTAATTGATTAAAATATATGCATTGTCTATATAGAAATCTCGACATTCTTGCTTGCTGTTTGTCATGAATATACGGAATAGAATTAGGCGACTAGTAATAATAATAATAATAATTTTAATATATCGAATGCGCATCGATCATGATCAAGGAAACGAAATAAATATTATTGTGCTGTTTCAATTAATTAATTATCAATTTTTATTATCTTAATTATTATTTTTTAAATAAACTTACAAAAAAGATACATTATTTAGAAATATTTCTATGAAGTTTATTATTCATTATTATAAAATTAAAAGATAATTTCTTCAAAATAATGAAATTCAAATTTTAAATTGTTTAACATTCATTCATATTCTTTGATTGTTGAAATATTTGTTTCTCAGAAATAGAAATCAATTAGATAAAAATAGATTTGCAACAATGATAATGAATTTCTGGAAAATTTAAAATATTAATTATAATCACATCGTGACATAATGCGACCGATTCAAATGCATTCAATGTATTCAAATTTTTTAATTCGTGTACTATATACGTTAAAAGTCTTAAGAGCTCATTATACAACGGACAATTATGAAAATTTAATTATGCTTCACCTTGAACACGCGTGCGGGGACATAATGTTCGAAGGCTGCCCCATTGTCGTTGGAGTGAGCGAGCGTCACGAGCGACCGCTTCCCGCCGGCAAAACAAACGTTTCATAATCCAGCTGAGCGGATTCCGTCGCATGTAAATCAATCATTTACGCAAGCGGTATATATGTATATACGCGACCGACTTCGAAGGATTTGATCATACGGTTCGACTTGTTCTTTTACAAATGTTTTCTTTGCCTATTGATTTCAACGGAAGTTCCCGAATGTTCACGAATCATTTAATAGGGGATTTGATCACTTGAACTTTAAAACTTATTAAAATAAATTGCAATATATAGTATAAATTGCTTAATATAACAACAATTCTCATATGGTTTTCAATAATTTTTGAAATTTTTTCTTGTTTTATTGAAAATATTCATTGAAGAAAAGGAATATGAATATACATGAAACATATTATTGATAGAAATTTTATTGACAACTTTTTAGATGATAATCAAAGTGAATTTATAATATGCTATTTTTCTGACATAATTCTTTAACAGTTCCGAAGCATCTATTAGTCATCTTTAACAAATAAGTACCCTTTCCCCCTCCACTTTATAAAAATATGCAATCAAAAATGATGATATATTCTTGACTTACTAATATTTATTAATTTGATAAACAATGGCGATTCCTTTTGTTGAAACGATAATAATTTTTTCAAAATCAATCATATTTCACATGATGTTTTCATAGAGAATTATAGAAAATTTTCTGAATTTTGGTAGCCGTGCAAATATCAAAAAATTACGGCATAAAAATTTTCTACATTATTTAATAATTATTACAGTAAAATTCAATGTTAATAAAGAGATATTGAAAAGAAAATAAAGTGATTGCCATCCAAAAAATCTATAAATTAGATTACAATACATACAAGATATGAATTGGTGGTCAATCTTATTTATTTATGAATAAGAGCAAAGTGTGTGTGGCATAAAATATGATTTTGCATATGACAAAACATTCTCTCTACTATATCCCCACCAATAATTCATCGAGAAATTCCCCTCACGGTAATACGTCCCTGAGAAATACGGTATGCGCCATCGAGTGTACGCTTATTTTAACAAACCTATTTCTGATATTGTGCCACCGCAACGGTGTCTGTATCGAGATTAGAAGGCTTTCAACGAAACTGACTTCTTATGTTTGCACTATAGAGACATAATAATATGAGAGAGAGAAAAAAGTGAATAACGAACAACCGCGTCTCTGCATATGGTCAGAGTGTGTTCAATGCACGTACATATTCTCATGTATAGAGCATATTCGATAAGTAATTTCTCTCCCCCCCCCCCTTCCCAACTCAAGTTGTCTACGATATTAGGTGGAAGCTCAACGTTTGTAATAGTACTAGAAATAGTACTATTGAATTATATGCGAAATATTGCAATTATCAATATAATACGTTTATATAGTAATAATTATATAGTAATAATAAAAGTTTATACAATTAAATAAAAAAATATTCATTAAAATATATATTATTATATTATTTATAATAGTAAAAAATAAATAATATAATATACGGATTTATTATTAATTATGATAATAATATTTATGGTATACATGTAACGCGATCAATAATAATGATCTAAATCGTTATTATGAATCATTCTCATAAAATATTAATTTTACAAAATAAAAAAAAAACAAAAAACAAAAACAAAATAAAAAAGAAATTAAATCTATTTTGAAATAACAAATAAAAAAGAAAGTAAAAGTTCTTAGTAAAATGGGATGTCATAAGATTGCAATCACGAAGCAACAGTACATAAATGTCAAGGGATCCTGACATAGTTTTTAGATTTGTTGAAGTGACTGGTTATCGTATACAGAGAATTATATGCTTTATCGATTATATTACTAGTGACTGGCATTCTTAAATGCGAGATTATACATATATAGGAGCACAATTTCGGAAAGCTATTCATGATAATATAGGATAATTTAGCATTGACTATTGATGATAAATGATTAGATAGCATACCAGAATCTATTGTGTGCTTAATATCGCTAAGATTATCTCAGTATACCAGGAATTATATACATATAGTATTCCACAGATAATGAATTGAATGAAGAGAATGATTTTATATAAAAAAATAAATCCAAAATATAGAATAAAATTTTTTTATTTGAAACTTTGTTCAAGTAAATCAAATTCAAAAAATTTTCAAATATAAACTAAAATTATTTTCTGATTAAATATAAATGAATGAGATATATTATCGAGAAAATAATTTTATATATAAAAAAATAAGTAAAAAAAAAAAAAATAAATTTTTTTCATATTAATTACTTAAAATTAAAATGAAATTAATTTACAAAGACATTGAATTTGAAAATTCATCGATTACATGATTTCTTGACAATCATGTTCAATTTCGCTTTTCACAAAAATAAGAATTTAAACGATAAAATTTTATTCTATTTTATTCATTTTTTATATTTATTTATTTTTATATAATTATTTATTTATTTTTATATAAAATGAAAATAAATCTATCAATAGTTCATTCATTTATTTAATCGAGGGAAAGCTAATTTCGCTTTGAAAAATTTTCGATTTATTTTTTCATTTTTTTTTCATTTATTTTTTTCACGGCTGTCATCTTTCATACTTTATATGATATACAAAGACATAATATTTTGTTCAAATCTGACAAATTTATTTTTTCACTTCATTATATATTTTTTTGTTCTTTATTCTCTTTTCTTTTTTTTTTTTCTTTTACATCGACTGATAACAACGTCAGTGACAATGTCATATCGCATTATCATCACGGCAAGCAAGATAATGAATAATTGAAAAAGACCAGTTCATTTGCGCAATTTTAATTACTTACTCTTTCACATATTCGCGAATTAATGATAAATATTTCTTTTTTTATAATTGATTACCATTATTGATATTATTAATCATTAATGATTATTATATTACGTATATTTAAATAAAAACAAATATTTGAGTATTTTTAATAATAATGAATGAACTATAAAAATTGGATTTTTGCAACAATCGTGGATGCTTCTAATAAGTCATTACTTATCGATAAAAATATACGAAATAATCAGAAATATAATATAACTATACAATAAATATTATATTTCCTAAATAAATATCTTTTATTTGTTTTTAGAAAATGTAATATATAATGGATTTTATTTTTATAAAAATACCTAAACATATTCATTATAAATATCAAAGTATATATATAAGTTTCTAGTTAGTCATAAGCTTATTCAATAGCATATCATACTATACTATATGTAGTTACTAAAGGTGTTAATACGAATATAATGCGTTATAGCTCTCTAGACAATCAAAGATTATAGTCGACGTGACTTTCTGCCTCTTTTCGTGTCTCCTATGCGAAATCATTTTATCGTTCTTTCCCTCTTGTTGCCCGCTTACTCTTTCTCTCATAGTTAACCGGGATCGACTCGAGAAACGAGTAAGATATAGTGACACATCTTTAGAACAATCACCCGTTGTGAAAGCGCCTCACCGGTTAAAATATCTACTACTGCAATATAATGAGCAAATGACAAGTCAAGAGATTGCGAACTTAATTCATTCTTGATCTTTTATTTCTTTCTCAGATATAATTTCAAAAGTTTGAAATATATATAAATATATGTTATATTATTAAATGAAAAATATTAATTTGTTTAATGATTTATCATTGATATATAAAATCAATTTCTAATTTTTATTATAAATAGTAATTTTGAAATCAAAATTTCAAATTATAAACAAACGTGAAATATTTCGTTTATAATCCTGAATTCATTATATCATTTTAGTAAGGATAATTTTGAAATTATTTTGAAAATAAATAATTACTTGCATATATCTGTAATAATATATCTAATAATCTAATAATCATCTAATAATCATCTGTACTTACCTAAAAAATGATACAGAGATGCATTATCCTTAGTTGATACACTTTATTTATGGTATAATCCAATCCTTTTCGAGGTAAATTGAATATTATAAAGAAAACACTAAATCACAACATGCACATTTCTCTGCGTCCACGAAAACTGTCTACGTTTATTGTCATCGTCCATCAGGACGACGAGCACGATCACTACGTTGCTCGACACTGCAACGCTTTCGTCTATTCATCACCTCGTCATAACAACGACAAAACAAGCGAGAACACGCTTCACGACTCAAGCTGAATGTGCAGAACCCACCAGAGAGTGTTGCACGCGCGTGCGACTCGGATGTGAGAGAGGGTAAAACTCCACTGCTCGTGGTCGGCACCGGTATTGTGTCCTTGTGGCAGCAACAGCACAACTTTATTGAACAGCGTCTCTTGAAATTATTTCGATATCACGTTAATTCTAAATAAATATTGACAATTATATAACATTTATACACACAAAAGTTATGTACTTTTTTCCTTATTTTTGTTTTTTTCTTTTTGTCCTACAAAGTTTATTTGCTTGCGGTTTTGTTTTTTTTTATCTCACACACGTCTATAAACTTTATTTATATTCACTGATTATGCTATTCATATGCTTCACAGTCTATCACAGATGTACTGATGGTACAATGGCAACGACGAACTATTAGCAAAATTTTCATGACGACATTAATAATGATAGTAACGACAGGAGCAACAGCAGCAACAGAAGTTTCGAGGACAATAATGACACATTTAAAAAATCGTCGCGTGAATGATCGTTGATGATGATACTTATGAACGAAGAGAGAGCGTCCTCTCAGTATTCGCGGACGGCTGACTCTGACTGCTCGGCTGACTGACTACTCCGCGCCGGGTAGCATTGGCCCCGCTAAACGGTTGAAAGTAATACTGTCTAGTGAGAGGCTGTTGGGGCCAACATTGGTCTTACTTGCTCTCTCTTCTTCCGTCTCCCTTGCTCGCTTATAATAATCTATCTCACTCACTCTTTTCGCACGCTCTCTATCGGTCCGTTGTGTATCTATGTTCTGTATATTCACGGTGTGTGCCTGCCGTCGATCCACGTACGACTTGTATCACACATATGAATATTTCTTCGTGTGCGTGGTAACGCATATTGATAGTAGAGAGTATAAGAACAGCAGGCACGATGATATTACAGTAGTAGTACTGTTCGTTGTTAGTATTAGTATTAAAGCTACGCTACGATGAAGGTATTAATGGTAGTGGTGAGGTTGGATGAAACGGTGGGAGTTATACGTGCGCATGTAACAGGCGCAGGCGTACACGACGCCATCTAGTAGGAACACGCCACAATCGCACCCAACGCACAGCGTACGAACACTGCGGCACACGCATGTGCCACTCCATAGAGCGCAGACAGTCGAAGGTATAGTTGGTGGGGATACGACCGAGTACGAAGGACAAGCATAGAAGCTACGGGGATAGAGGAAAGGGGAGGAGATGCAGTTCAATTGGGTGGGGGAAGAAAAGGAAGGAAGAAGGCAGATGGATAGCAATCGAGAAGGATACAAAGGGTTGGGTGGGGTGAGAAATGATGGAGAGTGAACAGAGGCGAGGGGTCGCTCTTCCGACCGAGGGGTTGTCGTGCCGGTGGGGAAGTTTGACCTGAGCTAGTTCCCCTCCATTCAATCCACGGCCACAATATCGGTTATAGCGAGCCACTGTTGCCAGATTGTGCGCCTCGACGACGACGGTGGCAGCGTGTGGGTGGAGTCATGCGATAGAGGGAAAAGGTTTCCCTGTAACATCACCGCTGTCCTCTTCTCTTGTTCTCGTGCATACTGCTCGATCTGAGAAACGAGCATATATGTCTATTTCTTCTCTTTTGTTCTTGTTTCTCTCTTTCTCTTTGTTTCTATTATGCATTCTCTCTTTCTTTACTAGCGCCCTCCGTCTTCCGTTCTCGGCTGCTCCCGCGCTGTTGTTGTCGCTACCGGGACGTACGCAGCCCCTTCGAAACCGAGGTGCATGTGGCATTTCTACGTTCCGCCCGGAACTTATGTAGGAACGGGTATGCATGTTTCTATAGATGTGGTATATATCGTACATGCGTATATGCTATTCTATGCCGTGTCGATTAGCACGGATAGTCGATTGCTTCGAATGGGATGTTTAACGCGAACTTGTTACAAACAAGATCGATTAGTCGAGCAAATTAAAATTAGTTAAACAATTTGCGGAGAATCTTATGTATTGTTTTGAAATGTTATCTGTGAAAAATCAACTGTAAATCAATTATAAATAATATTAATAAAATATTTTTATTGTTTACTTTGTTTTTTTTATTTTTATTTTTATTATTCGTTTTATTTATTTATTTTATAAATTTTTATTGTTGAATTTATTTCATAAAATCTAATAAATTTAATTTACAAAATATTAAATATTATTTTTTCTTAAATAAATTTTAAAATAAATTTTTGCTAATATATAGTAATATATAGTTCCTTATTTTTAAAAAACGCGCATTTCGTTAATATGTTTTGATATATTCTTCGATAGAAAGTAGATCGGGAATGTTAAAACGGGATTTCATGTTAAGTTATTCAAGCGCGTGTGCTCATCAAATATACATAAGTATAAAGCATATACATAAATATATACATATATATATATATATAAAATGATAATGGGTCAGTTCACGCATTATTCCTATATTTGTAAACTGATGAATACGAGGTTGCTCTTTGAATCTTCGTTGTGTGTCATGGATGTTTAGATTAATACGCATATATATGTTATAAGCAATCATGGTCATCTCGAACATCTTTTCAATGGCAATCTTGAAAGATCGGTTGCAGTGTTGCCTTGTCGCAGATTACAATCATGTCAATATATGTATGGATATGAGAAATATAACAAAACGTAATAAATCAAATATAACTAATTTATAATTCTGTTAATATTATCTTTTAATTTTAATTTTGTTAACTTATTAATCAATTTATTAATCAATTTTATTTAATATTTATTTTTTTTAATAATTCTTTCAAATTGTCCTTTCTAATTATTTTCAAAAAAATATGAAAGTTTTATTTGTTTCTCTTTTTTCAAGATTATTTATATTATATTAGATAATATAATATATTATAATATATAATAACATAATATACGTTAAATAATAAAATTTTATATTTATAATTATTATAAAAAAATGGTTTCTAATATAGCTTTAAATAGCTTTTTTGTTTTATAGATTCGTTACAACACTAATCTATTATATCTACAATTTAAGTCGACATTGTATTTGAAAATTTAGAAGTTTTGGATGCTTGGATATCAATCGGATAACTCCATTATGTATCACGAAGTTTGATCTTAGTCAGTTCAAGAACAAATTCGAGAAGGGTGTTAACTTGAATTCGGCATAAGAGAAAGTTTAAGTATTTCAAGACAGCAAACATATTATTTGAAATTCGAATTTATATAATTTTAATAAATTAAGAATAGAACTTAATAAATACATGAATTCAATAAATTAATTGAATTTTATTTAGTTATTTTTTAATTTTTTCTTTTTTGTTACTAAATAGAAATATACCATAGAATACTAAACAAATATATATTTTATAAATAATATAATTTTTAATATGTAATAAACAATATGATTTTTTTAAAAGAATTGAAATTTTAGCGATGCATTATTTCATAATTTATGCATATTTAATTTTATATTTTCAATTAAATTTTAAAATATATTTCATCTTAAAAATTCAAATAATTTTTCTTATAATTTTATATATGTTTTTTTATATTTTTAAAATAACGATTTTTGAAGTATAACAATATATTTTAAATTATAACATTTCATTGTGTAAGAAAGATTTAATAAATCTTATTAATTTATAAATGACAC